ACGGGGAGGGGGGGGGCTCCTCCCGTTTCTTCAGGGAAGAAAGAGACCAGAGGCGCTGGTTGGTTCATTTACTCTCGAGTAAGCCCAGGCATAGCTTCTCCCTGTGGCTCAAAGACTCCACCTGAATCAGTGGTTCAGACCATGTCGAATCCCATTTCCCCTGAAAATGGACGAACATAAGTTTTAAAGTAAATACCACTCTCTCTTTTACTTATTTTTGTAATTTAAGATATGATTTCATTCCATTTCAGATCGGTTCTCAGCTGACAGTGGCCTTTTCATAATGTTTATCTCTAGCATTATTTATCCTATCCTCTATCGAAACGGCTAATTATCTGTAATATAAATTAAACCAGGCCTGTTTTCTCTCTATTAGAACATTATAATCAAGTTCCTTTTCATATGAACAGTGGCCTCTAAATGACAGGTTCTTGTGTACTTTTACCTGATAACACTAGTTTGGCTTCAAATGAGATGCATTTGTACTTAGTGCCTGTTATGAAAAGTATCATTCTGTGATAGTCGTTACTTTATAATATTGATAAAAAATACTTCCTCATGGATTTTCTAATTTCTTTTTGTTTTACTTCCATATGAAATGACCTGCAGAAATCAGTATGTATATGTTCACTTACATACTTTTGGTAACTCTTATGCCTGACTGTCTCTTACAAGCAGCCTCAGCTTTGCATGTTGCCGTGTTCAGGCATTGCTTTAAGCACGCAGGCATTGCTGCTCTTTCCAGTGTCACCGTGTTAATGCTAGATATATAAAAGGAATCTTTCTTTACAAAAAGTTAGTATGTGAATGTGTTTGACATACTTCTAGAGAATTATGTTTAGAGAAGCACGTAATAAAATAAAATAAAATAAAATCTTAACGAATAAGCAACCCCTGGGATATAAAAATATTCTTGCTTAAACATCCCATAGTTTAAATTCAAAATCAAAACTAAAGCTGCAAAATAGAAAATAATAATAAAATCCAACATATCAAAGCCCAAGAAGGCTCTCCTCAATGGAAAATGAGTGCAGTTACATTGCTAAACAAGCGTTGAAATAAACAATTTAGACAATCAATTCTATAGGTCAAACAAAATAAAATTAACTAAAAGAAAGAAGATGAAAAAGCATTAATGAATTAGAGGACAGAAAAATAGTGGACTTGGTCAATCCAAGAGGTGGATCTTTAGGAATATAAAGATAAAATATTTTAGATGCTTGGCAAGCTTAATAAAAAAAAAAAAAAAAAAAACAAAAAACCACACAAATAGGCAAAGTTCTCAAGGAGATATAACTAGATAAGGGAGGAAATTTAACACATAAGAGGAAACTTGGCAAAACTTTATGATTATAAATTTTAAAGCTTAAAAAAGATAATTTTCTAGAAAAACATTATCAAAATATATCTTCAGAAGTTATTTAAAAATCTACACAGTCAAATAATTATGGAAGAAAGAAGTTTTCAAAAACTACTGCACAAGAAAGCATCGGACTCAGAATCACAGATGATTTAATTTTAAACCTTCAAGAAGATCATTTCCATATGATTTAAACTGCTCCAGAAGATAGAAAGGAAAAAAGGGAGGGAGCGGGGGAACCTGCAGGATCCATTTTGAAACGCTTGATAGAAACTTCTAAGAGCGTTAGAAGGAGAGGATCCATTACTTGCCTAAGCCTAAGTAGTCTTTGCTTAACCCCTTTTTCTCTTATGAATTTCATCTAAAGCATTTTTCCTCAATTCTAGAATTTGTCAAATATTAGAATCGTATTAGAGAATTAAAGGAAGAAAAATATGGACAAACGCTTTATTTAAAAATGTACACATTGAAGGGTAACTGTGTTTATGTTGAGTTATCTACATAATCTACAAGGGCTTTCACCCCAACAACCTACATTGGGAAGAAAGTACTCAGTTCGCGATTTAGCAAATCTATTAGTGTTAATAAGAGACCTGTGCTTTTTAAACATCACTAACAGTATAACTCATAGTTATGACCAGGAGTTCAAAATACTTAGTTTAAACCTAGTTTAAAAGTCATCATTTCCTTCCTTTTGAGCACATTTGATTAATTCCCGGGGATTCTTCCCCAGTGGTGCAGTGTCAGCCAGAGAGCAGGTAACTCATAGTCCAGCAGGGCACATGGCCTCGGACCTTAAGCAGTTTCACTTTTTCATCAGGGTCCCAATGACAGAAAACAGAACAATCCCTGCTCGATCAGATAATAAATGATACAGTTTGGGTAACTCGGCCAGCTTCCTAGAGAAAGAATAATTAATTTTCCATGTGTCATTTGTCCTATGAAAAGCACATGCCAGAAGTCTATCGATCAGTGAAAACCTTCAGTTATTGGAGGTTATACTCCTTTCGAAATTGTCAATATTCAACCTTTTATTTTTACCTACAACAATGGCAGTTTAATATGGTTCAATGTAATAGAGAGAGCAGGATAATCAACTCTTCTTCAAAATGAAAATGAACTGCAGCATGAAAGATTTAATTAAAGTATAAAATAGGCCTTTAGTCTAAGGGTTGTTCAACATTGAAGGGTTTCAGGAGACATTTTGATAGCTTCTCTATTTAAGATGTGCAAATAAAGACCGTGAGGGGAAAAAAGAAAACCAATTTTGTGTTACAAGCCTGATTTAAATATAAGTCTGGCTCGGACAGGCTAGGTGATGTTTTAAAGACACTTTCATTTCCCTGATTCTAGGAATAAAATTCTATTTTGTAAAGATTAGCTTTTTGGCTGAAGCTGGAAATTAAGCATTGAATTGAGTTTATCACGGCCCCAGCCTTCAATGCTAACTTTCACTTTCATCACAGCGCCCGCTGGCCCTCCTCTGACAGCCCCTCCGCGGCCTGCTGGAGTCCCCACTAAAATATTCCCATTTGCCGTCACACGCTGCTTCAGCAGGCATGGCCTTGCTTCTGGCATGTGGATAAGATGAAATTCTTTTAATTATTTAGTTAAGCATACTGCCATTTTCATCTGTCTGTGTGTGCATGTGGGTGTGCACACGCACTTGTGCCTGTATGTGTGCACGTGTGTGTTTGTGCATGTATGGGTGTGTGCGGGTGTGCATGTGTGTGGTGTCTGCTAACCTTGTCCTATGCAGTTGCAGATGCAGATGCCACTGTGAAAAATCTAGAACAAGAAGCTGATCGACTGATCAATAAACTCAAACCCATCAAGGAACTTGAGGATAACTTGAAGCGAAACATCTCTGAGATAAAGGAACTGATAAACCAAGCCCGGAAACAAGCCAATTCTGTAAGCTGTTTTTACTTACAGTGTCACTAACGGGTTGTATTTTTGGTATTATTTCCAGAAGGAATGTCTTCCCCCCGTATATCCTGTTGAATGATCTTTGGGTTTTTTTCCTTAACTTAAAGTTATTTTGGGGGGAATTGGAGAATGGGAGATTAAGTGTTTTGTGTGTTTTTCATAAATTTCAAAAGACATTTCTTGAGAAGCATAATCACCACCAATTGTTTCATAAATTGATATTCTGATATATTTTATTATTATTTAAAGAGAGTGATACAAATTGCAAGAATAGAAACCTTATTTTTATATACTAAAAAAATATGGATGAGAGTGCCTTGCTCTTGATGAAAGAAAAAAAAGGCCAACCAGTGGGGTTGTAGCAGGAATGAATGAACAAGGTTATATAAAGTAACAGCAAAGAGGAAAAATTATTTTGGTTACAATTTTTACAGTTTCTTTCTCTTTTTGAGGGGGGGAGTAAGTATAGGAAACACCTAGCTGGTCTCAAGTTTTTTATCTTTATTAACTACTACAGGACGATTAGGGTAGAAGCAGAACTTTCTAGAAGATAGCATCATAATGAACCAGGACAGAATTGTTAATGCCAATATCTAACTATCTAGCCAAATAAAGTTATCCCATAATGGTTTTAGAAATAGAGGGGGAAAATAACAGTTTTCATGTTGTCAAGTTTAAACCCAATTCTTTTTAGATACCCAAGTCTTTCACCTTAAAAGTTTTTTGTTTTCCCCACAACTGTGAAGCTAGAATGACCAGAAAAGACCTTTGTTAATCCATCAATTTATATGTATTTTTAGTAGTGGCCAAGAGTAAAACCGAGTGACAATATATCCATTTTCCCCCTTTATACATATCTAATGCCTCTAAAGAAGGCCAAGACAATAATAAGTTCAGTGTGTACTTTGAATAGGAATTCACGACTGACTGAAGAGAAACTTAGGAAATGACAGAAAAGATTAGTGAAGAGGATGCACATAAGCTCAGAGTTAAAAAAAAAAAAAAAAAAAAA